GGGCCAAAATTCAAATGTTTCAAACACTTTTTTGAATCGCGGCGTGTGATGTGAACTTCAGTCAGCGGAATGACTTGCCCATAGAGCCAATGAGGATGAAAATTGGACGCGGTGATAGCACCGTCTGAATTGCGGCGATAGTTGTACAAAGACGGGAAAATTACTATTTTACTGACAACTGAAAAAGTTTTTATTATCTTCTGCACTCAAATATCTTTTTCGAACAAATAATAACTAAGAATATTGTTTGCATAATTTATAGCTGCATATAAAACGAAATGGTTTTTAAAGCACCAGAGCGTTTTGATATGGCGGCTGGCCATTCGCATAGCAGACGTCACCGTTGTCGTCTCCTTCTGCGTCATGGCTGTCTCCCGCTCGTTAGAGCAGCTCTCTGTCTCAATTTATCTCGTTTACATATATAGTCCAATGCAGTAAACTACTTACTGGAAGCTCACTAGTATCTGGCATACTTACTTTAGTAAGTGAGTGATGCTGCATACAGGCCGAGCGAAATGACAACGCTGATCACACAAACTTGCAGCAATAAGTTGTTTTATTGCAAGTCAATCGATGTTTACATGAAATAAAGGTCTTGTAAGTAACGTTTTAGCATGTACAGCAGTGAATAATATGCATGCATCACATAGCGGGTACGTACGTACTACGCATAGCCCCAACGCTGATGCCCAAAGCACAGAAGCTGTCCAGCGCTGACTGATTTATTCATCGTACTCCACAAAAACTTCACTGCAGTAAGTAAAGGTTTACCGCTAACATTCCTGCATTTTTGTAGCTGAAGATATCGTAACACCTCATTGACAGTATTCAGCAAACTTTTTGTAAATAATATCAACGTATCCGCCTGCCTTTCACGAGCAATGCGGCCGAACTGTTTGTTCTTGGGTTCGCGCGGCCAGGTAAAAAGGGTCACTTTGCAATCTTCCACGCATTCGCACTATTTGTGCTTATAAATGCTTAAATTTAATTGTGAAGCAGTTTTTTATGCGTGCTATTCTCAAGTCTTACAAATAAAATTGTGAAAAAAAAAAGGCTTAGACAGCGTTTTGTTTGCCGTCGCTGGCGGTGCGCTGTCATTTCGATGGTGGCGATGCCTCACAGCACGGACGCGAAGCTCGCAACATGCCACAAGCCTGCTTCAGTACCGAAACCGCCGAACAAAGGCCGATCGAGAGCAGCGGGCTCGAAGATTTGGAAGTACGCGTGCGACCAGCGCATGCACTGTCTTTTACAGTGTGTGTGATTGTCGTTGCTTCAACCGCTGTAAACGAAGCCACAGTCGTTCGACAGGATCATGTATAGCGACAACATTACCTACATGACTCTGAAAATGTGCGCACCGCCAACGCTTGACCAGTCAAAGCAACGCTGCTTTCCGCAAAGTCGGAGATGTTTCCGGAAAGCAACATCTTTGTGGTTTTTTGTGGACAAAACCGTGCCAGTTGCAATCATAAATAGTATACAACGACTTAGTTTTAAAGGCACGCTGGTTGAAAAAACTTCCGTTTTCCGCAATCGCCACGCACAAAACCGCGGTCGCGGTGATGCTATCTACGAGTCCGAGGGCACGTGGTTGACGCAGTGGTAGATTAAAGGCGGTAAACACGTAAAAAAGCTAGAACGGTTTTGGCGTTCCTGGCTAAAAGAATCTAGTAGCGAGGACAGCCAAAGCTTAGACCGCGCTTTCGTGGCATCCAGCTGCGCCGTCCCGTCCGCTCACGTTTGAAGACATACGCGAGTTGTTTTAATTGAAATCTATATTTTTGCGAGTTGTTTTGATGACGCGAAATTTCGCGAGCATTTGCGGCTCCCCCTTTGAGACTCTCACCTTAGTGGAAAACCCTGCCCTCCTGTGTTCAGCCCCTCCAAGCCATTATGAGACCGCAACGCTGTGTTGGCGCTTTCGTTTGAGACCCCCCCTCCCCACCTCTTGTTTTTCGTGATGTTTTTTTTTCTTTTGGTGCCAAGAATAAGGAAAATAATTTAGCGCATCGCTTTTTTCTTATGGTGACAAAACATAATTACTCTTGTCGCTAAAAGGCAAATCCATCAGATCGACAAATACAAAAAAAAGGTCGGCAACCCGTCCTCCCTCTTCTTCTTTGCTTGGGTGTTTTAGGCAGGTTGGCAGATATGCTTCTGAGGTTATCATATAATGTCACGACGTACAAAAATAAGAAAGCATTTGCCTAATAGCCCGAGGTGACGGTGACCATATGTCTGACTTTAATTAATTTATACTAGTTTAGATGGTGAAAAATGTTTGAATGTTTTGGTTGTTCCTGAATTTTCTTGCAACCTGAGGGCTTCCTCAAAACTAGTTTGCAATTTCTACACTTTGATGGAAGTGCCTTTGTTCTATTTCTTGCGGCATTATTTCGTTGCAAGCGTTTTGAACCTTATTTTGTTAGCGGAGACAGCTGCCAAAGCGCCTCTGTCTGTGCCTCGAAATGTTGGCCCTTGCCTCCGACTGAGAGGCTGTTCTTTTTTGTTGTTGAACATGTCTCTCGTGACTGCTTTGACATTTCTCTGGTGCGTTGCTTCCGGAATGTCAGCTGTCCGCATTGCAAAAGCAGCTATTATTGTCAGTGTGAGTTTCGCGGGTTTTTAAACTTCCTCCATCTGATGACAGCGGAGTTCCTGTTTTTTTGTTCACATGCCATCCCAGCCAGTGATTTTACCATTTACGATGAGAGGTCAGGCAGCATCACAACGTGAAACAAGAACAGTGCTATACGTAAAAGAAAAAAACTGTCATGTGGTGATATTTTGCAGATTTGAATGAGCAGGGAATATTTCTTTCGAGAAATAATTCAGGCTTTGTGAGTGTAGCATAATATGCTTTGTTATGCTAATAATGTATGTTCTTGCATATTATTTTTTCAAATTTTGTCCTACTAGGGTTTTCTCACAGTACAGGTAGTTGCCCCAGCCCCCTTCCCCCTTTATTTTTTATTGCCTAAGGCATGTGGCATGCTTGTGCTCATAGGTAAATGTCACACCTTGTGAGGACAGAAAAAAAGTTCGGAAATTTTTTCGATACTATCATTTATTTAACATATTAAAGATTTATGGCCAGTTGCTTGTAGTTTGCTTCTATGGTTCTTAGGCACTTGGGCAACATCGAATGTTTTAAAGTTCTTTGACAACAATTACTAAGAGATTAGCATTGAGAGCTGCCTTAGAAACACGCGACTTCACTGAAATTCGCTATCGCACCTGTGTAGCAACGCGCTGTGTGAGCTAGCCGCTGAGCTATACTGTAAGGTCATGGCAGCTGTTTTTTGGGATTATGAAGGTGTTGTTTCAGTGTGTTTCACCCTAAAAGGCCCTACAATCAATTCATACTATTATTGTGCCACTTTCTGGAGTAATTGTGCTTCTTCAGAACTCTACAGAATTCTGGAATAAGGAACGTGAATTGAAACAAACTTAAAAACAATGTAGGCATGATTAAGCGTGGAAGTTTCATCCCGTGTCCTTTGTTATTATGTTTGACATTGTTCGTATTCTTTAAATAGAGTTATGCTTCAATGACTAGCTTAACAACAGGTGCTCCTAAGCTTCTTTGCGACAATGCATGCCATCACTCTGCTTCTGCAATTGCAAAGTTACTGAATCGGCTAATTCACCACCCTGCAGTTTGGACTATGCTCCTAGCTATAGCTACCTTTTCCCTGAGCTGAAAAAAATTTTTGGGTGGCGAAAGTTTCGGAAGGGGAGAGTTGGAAAATTCAGCAATCTCTTGTCTCAACGCACTGGCGGCAGAAGAGTACAACATGGGAATTCCGAAGCTTAAGATGTTCTAAATTCAAATGTAAATGTTCTAAATTCAAAATATTATCCAGGGAAGGGAATTCGGGGTTTCTATTTCGCAGAAAGAAAGGTCGTTGGTTTGGAGTGACCTTCATAAGTGCACTTGGGACAGATTCTATTGTGTGTACAATTGGACTGTCTCTTCGATAAATCTGAATCTGATGGCTCAAGTGCTGCCATTTCTGGAGGCTAGACGAAAAAGGGGAGGCTGCAGTGAAGTGCAAACTGGCGTTTGTGAATCAGTCATTAAATAAGCATAAATATATAAAAAGCTTTGATGGCTGGAATCTCAACTGCGGGCTTCAAGTAGCAAAGCCCGATTACTTGACCACCATGGTACAAGCATTATCATGTGGTGTTAAACACCTTTGAGAATGTCCGACACGCGAGCTAGTGAATTCAATTCAGGCACTTGGTATATTTTCTGCAATGCTAATCATTTCTCAAGATAACTCTCGTGCAAGCCAGTGCATTGATGTGCTTGGCATGATTTCAGTATGCTGACAGTATGTTGTCAGTGTCACTTCTAGAACACATCTTGCCCCGCCGTTGTGGTCTGGTGGCTAAGGTACTCGGTTGTTGACCCGCAAGTCGTGGGATCGAATCCAGGGTGCGGCCACTGCATTTTCGATGGAGGCGGAAATGGTGTAGGCCCGTGTGCTCAGATTTGGGTGCACGGTAAAGAATCCCAGGTAGTCGAAATTTCCGAAGCCCTCCACTGTGGTGTCTCTCATAATCATATGATGATTTTGGGGTGTTAAACCCCATATATCAATAAATCTAGCACACATCTTCTATCATATGGTGGTTTTGGGACGTTAAACCTCACATATAAATCAATCTAGCACACATCTTCTAGACGTGATGCCTGCACCACTGGTGATGATGCTGTCGGTCACTCTCTTAGTGTAATGTTGCTGAATCGCATCAGTTGCCTCTACCACCAAGATTTAATATGTAATATGTAATACACTTTTCTTGCATTCACTGCTAAGTCAAGAATAACTTTTCCTTGATATCGTTTAAAAGATTGATGTCTCACGGATTAAATTAGCTGTGTATGGGCTAGTGTTGTACAGTCCCTCCCAGCACTTTCATATCAAAATTTACTCACCCACTGTGTTGTTATTATATTTCAAGCTGTTGGCCATATGTTTATGCAGGGTTCCTATTGGGAGCTTGACCTGAAATCTGCAAGTGAGCTTCCCTGCAGAAAGAAAAAGCTCAAGGCGTACGATTCGGTAAGCATGCTTGTTGTTGGTGGGTGTGCCACATCAAAGGGCATGCATCCTTTACAAAACTTTGCAACTTGTCACATAGACTGGTGTCACGGCTGTGTAACGATTCAAACGCTGTTATCATAGCACTCTGAAGGTATGCACTGAATTGGGCAGAATGCCGCGTGACTTAAGACGAAGACTGGAGGCACATAAAACGCAGACGAGCGCCGTCTGTAAAACACGAACGTGCCTCCTGTCTTAGTCCAAGTCGTGCTGCATCGCGAGTCGGTCCAAGTATGTACCAAGTTATCTAAGTCAATATAATACTAAATGGGGCTTTATTGTTTTGTGGCTGCTAGGTGTATCCTTATAGCCCTGAAACTGGTATCAGCACCTGGACTCCAGAGGTTGAGGGCCATTCGTCACCTCCACAGAACCACACCACCGTACCAGAAATAAAGGTACGGTCCCGCTACGCTTGCAAGAACATTATTATTGCCCGTATCCTAGAACCATTTTCTCAAGCTTTTACGGAAAAGCAAAAAGTTTCGCTGTGCTTCTTTCTAGTGCAATAATCACGACCTTCTTTGGGTCGTATGTCTTGTCCACAAGGGTTAATTAGTAAACACGGCATAATAGTATAGTTTAAGAAAGGTGTGTCATGTTGCAGATATTCCTAATTTGAATAAAGCATGTGAATTCATTTTATTACACATCTTAGTTTTCTACTCATATTGTTTCTCTCGACATCATCGAGCCATATAGCTAAATATGCTGATTCAAGAATGATTCCGTAGTATGCTTTATATGCATGTTGATGCTACAGAAGAGTTTAGTAGGACCATTGCACTACTAGACAAGTGACTCTATTAGTAAAGTGATGGCTTGACAGAGGTGTTGCCAAGCTTGGCATGTTTGGCAAAAGAATTTGCCTGGAATGCCTTAACCTTTCATGCTAACAGCATTGTGAAGCCACAGCTTCACTTAAGCCGCATGCCTGATTGTGTCAATGCCTGTTATAGCTTTCTGAGTATTCGTTAACATGCATGCCAAAAGATGCTTGTGGAGATTATCAGTGTCTACGTACACTTTCCGCATAAAATGTGTATTGTATGTGTTACCAAAACACCGTTTAAGAAAAAAAAAATTTCTTAATTTTTCCCTTTGCAGCAGGAGGTTGTGCGGCCTGAATATGAGGTTGATGATGACCAGTCCAGAGTGTCGTCTGAATACTACGATGAGCCTGTCAAGACAAGTGAGTTGTGCCTTCTCATTTTAACGGGTTAGCGTTGGAGAGCTTGTGTCGCAGAACATCCACCGTTGGCATCGGCCCCGTTGGTTGTGAGCGAAAAATTGTCCGTGAGCGAAAAAGCTCGTTACAGAGATCGCCGCAGGAGGCCGCTACTTGTCCACGCCTGCGCGCGTGATCACACTGAAAAAGCCGCGCATTCAAGGAAAAAAAGAAGAAAAAAAGGGCTCAGGGTCACGAAGCGCGGGTGATGTAGTTTTTTTGCCCCTGCCGCCCCTCCTTGCTTAGCTTCCAACGCTTTTGTTGGGACGAGAGAAGAGAGAATGCAATTGCAGCATGCGACATACCTTTGTAGCTCCACTCGCACTGAACAGATTCTTAAAATTTTTGCAGCGTTGAATTCGTGAGGCAATAAACTCGTCTAGTAAATTCATTCCATGGTTACTTGAAAAAGTGTTTCAGGGCCCCTTTAACGAATTTTGTTTGACAGGCGTCACGACGAAAACAAGCCCATTCGGCAATTTGTAGGCACATTTGGGAGGCCTCAAACTACGTCGAAAAAGGCCGGGATAGTGCAGTCATCGCTGCTAAAAACACACAGGAACTTTCAAACAGCTGTAAAAATGGATAACTATGTCCATCTAGCAGAAAACATATTGCCACAGGCTTGGAACGAGGTTGAGCCATGCCAATGCGAGTATGTGCCATTGTGTGAAAAAGAAGAGGACTGTTTTTGTTGTGCTCGTGGTCTAACGTTCGTTTCGGCTCGACGTCCAGTGCTGCTACTCCTGTGAACAGACGTTGTGGTCTTTCTGAATCACGTGACATTTTCTGGTGAAGGTGCTGGGTAGTGTTGTATGCACTGCAATCAGCAGCAAGATCCCGACACTAGTCGCGACTTGGAAGAACCAGCTGACCTACAGCGTAGCAGGCGACAACTAGGCCTATCACCTGAATTGGGGCCACTTCCACAACTCGGCAGTACTATGGCTATTGCGGGAACGCAAAGCCAAGAGACATTGATGCTGCCTCCTGCATGGTTCTTCAATGCCCCGCGAACCCCGAAGCCATTCCACGGTGACCCTTACGAGGACATTGACGACTGGCTTGCGGCAGCATCAACGAGTGGAACGAGCAGAGAAAGCTTCGGTATGTCTACTTTTACCTCGAGGACTCTGCGCGCACTTGGTTCGAAAACCATGAAGCCACTATGACAACCAGGCCAGAGTTTTGGAACCAGTTGCGGAATAGCTTCCGAAGCTCTGACCGAAAGGAGCAAGTGGAACGGCTCCTCAATTCCCGAAATCAGCGTCCGAACAAGAGTGTTGCTATGTTCGTTGAGGACATGTCGCGGCTGTTCAGGCAAGCTGACTCCTCAATGACGGAAGAGAAGAAGGTGCGCCTCCTGATGCAAGGAGTGAAAGAGCAGCTGTTCGCTGGACTAGTGGGGAACCCTCCCAGTACTGTAGAGGATTTCCTCCGCGAAGCCATGTCAATGGAGAGAATGCTAAAGCAGCGTTCGTATCAGTATGAGTGTCCTGGCAGTCTTTCGTCTGTGTCATCGGCCCTGCCAACACGATGTCACGACTGTAAGAGACCTGAAGGAGCTCGTGCGCAGTATTGTGCGCGAGGAGCTGCAAAAGTTGCACACAGTGTCTTTTCAGCCCCATGTTGCTGCTCTAATGGATGTCGTCGGCGAAAAGGTCCGGCAGCTGGTGCACCCCATGACAACTCTGCGTTCAGCCGAGGTCCATCCCATGACCACCCCGTGTCCAGCCGAAGCTCCACTATTAGCGTATAGCGAAGCAATACGTACTCCTGCACCTGCTGTTGGCTATCCGTCCCGTCCGTCCACCCTGCAGACGGTGCCGTCATTCTACTCAGGACCACCACAGTACGGCAACCCACCCCTTACACGGAAATCAAGTGTATGGCGTGCTCCCGACAACCGGCCTCTCTGTTATCACTGTGGTGAACCAGATCCTATCTACCGACAGTGCGCATACAGGCACTTGGGTCTTCCTTTCTTTCGTCCGGATGCTCTTCGACCCAGAGATGGTGAGCGGCCCTGTGCAATCGCCGAATACTTGGAAAGTCAGCAGTCCCAAACTCTTCCACGTCACCAGTCCCGCTCACCGTCTCCACGGCATTCCACGTCACCTGGCCAACAATCGACCTTTGCGAACGTCCTTGCAGGAAGATCGCCTAGATCCACGAACCCGCGCCGGGAAAACTAAGAACAGGGACCTCTGGTGGTGAGGCCGCTGTTGATCGACCGTTACAAGACCCTCACCCGAACTGCCTGCCGATATCCGACGACATGCTTTCACCGACGTGTGCCATCGACGACAAACATGTCTCTGCTCGCATCTCTGTCCTTGTCGACAACCACCCGCTATCCACTCTGATAGATACGGGTGCCGATTATTTCGTTATAAGCCCTGGCCTCGCTCTGCACAGCTAAGAAAGGTAACGACACCTTGGGGACAAGGAACGAACCTCCGGACTGCGAGAGGTTACCTATTGACAGACACCGCTGGGAAAATGCACTGCCCGGCTCCGAATTCGTGAGTTGACATACGTCAACTCACGAATCTCACTTTCTTCGTCGTATTGCGCGAATGCTCCCAAAATCTAATTCTCGGAATGGATTTTCTCCATGAGCATGGAGCCATTATTAACCTTCGCGACCTGCTCATAACGTTCTTCGACCATACAGCCACACAAAAGGATGCAGTTGCGCAGACCGCAACACTTCGAATTTCTGACGACACCATCGCACTTCAGTCGCGAGCCAGTATGTTGGTAACTGTGAAGAGCGACTGTGACAACAGGAGTAGTGGCATCACGGAAACTAACCTCTTGGTGCTCTTGGCTCGGCAGATTTGTGTCACGCGCGCTATCGTTCAACTGAAACATCGGAGGACTCAACTGAAACATCGGAGGACTCAGCTTCTGATCACGAATTTCGGTGGCCAGTACCAACACTTGGCAAAGCGAACAGCAATCGCGAACTTTGAAGCCATTGATGATGAATAATGTTCCACTATCGCTCCGATTGCCACTGCTGATGAAGGTGACGCTGCATTAGCCAGTACAGTTGACGTGAATTGCCAGCTATCCTCTGCGAAGCAGCAGCAGATACGCATGATTTTACGTACGTATAGTGACTGCTTTGCGTCCATTTCCAAAATCAAGCAGGCCCCAACCGTGAAGCACTGCATTTTAACGCACCCTACCGAACGACCTGTACGACAGCACGCCTACCGCATGTCGCAAAAAATAACAAGAGACAATACGTTTTCAGGTGAAACAGATGCTCGACGAGGACGTCATCCAACCCTCGAACAGTCCATGGGCGTCACCCGTCGTACTTGTTAAAAAGAGAGACGGCACTCTTCGATGTTGCATCGATTACCGGAAGCTCAACAAAGTGAGGGAGAGAGACGTCTACCCTCTACCACGCATAGATGACTCACTGGATTGACTTCGACATGCCCGATATTTTTCATCAAAGGATTTACGCAGCAGCTACTCGCAGATCGAGGTCGATCAACGCGACAGAGAAAAAACAGCGTTCATAACTCCCGGTGGCCTTTACGAATTCAAAGTGCTACCGTTTGGATTGTGCTCTGCACCGGAAACGTTCCAAAGGATGATGGACGCCGTCCTGTCCGGTCTGAAGTGTGAATCTTGCCTCGTCTATTTAGAGGACGTCGTTTTTTCCAAAACATTTGAGCAACATTTACAACGACTTCATACCGTCTTTGTCGCTATTCGATCCACAGGCCTATGGCTAAAACCGGAGAAGTGTCATTTCGGCTACGAAGAACTAAAGTTCCTCGGCCACCTTGTCAGTCACGATGGCATTCGACCAGACCCAGAAAAGGCCATGGCCGTTGCTGCATTTCCTCCACCTTCGAACAAACGGGATTTGTGCCGATTTTTGGGTCTCTGCGCCTACTACAGGCGCTTTGTGCAGAGCTTTGCTAACATCGCTGAACCCCTTACCCGCTTAACGAAGGAGGATACTCCTTTTGTATGGGGTCCAGAGCAGAGAGCCGCTTTTTCCAAGCTTCAACAGCGCCTTCAGAGTCAACCCTTACTAGGGCACTTTGATGAAGATGCCGCCGCCGAACTTCACACTGACGCAAGCAACATCAGTCTTGGAGCAGTGCTCGTCCAGTGGCAAAACGGCGCCGAACGTCCCATCGCTTATGCTAGTCGCATTCTGTCATCTGCGGAAACTAACTACTCAACCACGGAGAAGGAATGCCTTGCTGTTATTTGGGCGATAACAAAGTTCCTACCGTACCTGTATGGCCGTCCATTCAGAGTAGCTACGGACCATCATGCCTTTTGTTGACTGGCCAATCTCAAGGACCCTTCGGGTGCCTTGCGAGGTGGAGCTTGCGCCTTTCAGAATTTGAGGTTACAGTCGTCTACAAGTCGGGCCGCAGGCACACTGATGCTGATTGCCTTTCGCGCGCTCCTCTCGCGACAACATCGAGCGACGATGTTACCGATAGCCATTTTCTTTGTGCAGTCAGTGAATCTGACTTGGCCCAACAACAGTGGAATGATTCAGAGATACGACAATTTATCAAATACCTTCAAGGTCACAGCTCGAGTCCACCATCGGCATTTGCACGTTCAGGGTCATTTTGTCTCCGCAACGACATCGTATACAAAAAGAAGTTCAAACCTTATGCGACTGAATACCTCCTCGTCGTTCCATCATGGCTATGTGCTGACATTTTATCTGCCTGCCACGACGAGCCTTTCTCCGGCCACCTAGGATTCGCACTTACCCTTTTCAGATTCAGACTCGCTACTACTGGCCAAAGCTCACCTAGGATGTCAAGCATTACGTTAAAATGTGCAATCATTGCCAGCACCGTAAAGCCCCTCCTGTATGCCCTGCTGGTTTATTGCAGCCTGTTGCACCCCCGTCACAACCGTTTGAACGAATAGGCATGGACTTGCTTGGGCCCTTCCCGAAGTCA